GAAATATTCCCTTCATTTGTCACGGTAAAAGTGCTCTTGTGAACATTTGGATGATGGAGGATCACTAGTCTGAAGTTTTTGAACTGTGAATTCCAGAACAAGGATGGTGTGTGACCAAAAAAAAAAAAAAAAACCAAAAACAAAAACCCACACACACACAAACAAAAAAAAACATTTAATGATCAGTTTCAGAATTTATCTTACCTAAGTTTTAATTTCTGTTTTAGTTCTCTTATAAAACAATTGTCTTTTTTTAGAGTAACATTCCAGTTTTCAATAGCAATGATATCCACATTCAGTTAAGATCAGATTTCTAGGGCCCCATTTTAGAAACAAGCATAGCTCAAATCATGCTGAGCTTAAGAGCATTCCATGACAAGTGACAGAGCTTTGCAGACTATGGTCAGAAGCCATATTTTATGACCTTTACCCTGAGAAACATCAGGTGGCTTGTTCCTTTGTCCCCAGCAGAGGGGCACACAGGAAAAATCAGAAGAAATAGCAGCAAGTATGTGGCATAAATTCTATAGTTGCAAAGGTCTCTCCATAGTGAAGAAAGGAACCTTGAGAAAATCCTTTAGCTCATTGGTTCCCAAAGGTCTTTCATCCATCAAGGAGGACTTGCAAGAATCTTTCAGATAGACAGTCCCAACAAATTACAGGTATACTGGAAGATATTGGACCTTAAGTGCTTGCAATCATAAGCGTGTGAAAGGAAATGACAGAATATTTTGTATATTTATGTAATTCACATTGCTTATTTGTTTTTATTTTTAAATTTATAAAATTTCTTTTTTAAAGGACCTGTTAAGATATTTTGCCAGCTACAAATGCGTAACTTAGAATCCTTTGACTATGACTATGTATCAATTTATTACCCACATGCTCTGTGTGCAATTACTTCAGAGTATGGTGACTGGCAATTTATATAAAAATAAATATGCATATATTTGTAAATAGGTATATACTCATAAATTTTAGAATTACTTTTCTGAAAGGCATCACAGACTAACCAGGGTGAAGGTGCTATCTATCATGCACCAAATAGTAGAACAATGCACACACAGGCCCTGTGAGGGATCCAACCCATACCCTTGGCTCCATGTCCGAAATACTCCTACCAACCGAGTTAACTGACTGTAACCTAGCCATTTAGCATCTCAGCTCTGCTAAGCACGATTGCCCACAAACACAGGCTCCTTCAAGTCTTCACTGAATAAGGTTTGTTCTCAGCCAAAAAACTCTCTGGAAGGAATAGAAATGGATTTTAATATTTTTAAGCACTGAAAATTACTAGGTTGTGTTTTCCTATAGACGGTTCTTGAGTTGGAAATTCATGATTTTTTTCTCTGTGAGGTGATCCACTTGGTAATCTCTGATCAGGCAGTTCACTGGCTACTCCTCGGCTCTGACTGGGTCCCATTTCTTTTTATAAAGCTCTTGTTATTTCTGTTAGGAGGGCTTGAAGGCTGAAAGGGAGAAGGGGGAACTGGATAGCTCAGGGGCCTAGCTAATGTCATCTGATCTCTCTTACCCCGAGGCTTTTTTGAATTTGGCTCCTCTTCACACAGTCTCAAAATATGCACCAACCCTTCAACAGTCATTGACAAGTGGGGTCTGGAGTCAGACTGCCTGAGTTGGAAGCCAGGCTCCTCCAATTACTAGCTGTGAGGCTTTGGGGAAGTTACTTCATCTCTCTGAGCCTTGGTTTCCTTGCCTAAGATATGGTCATAAATGTCTGAAAATCGGGAAGAATTTATACAAAATTAAATGAGATAACATATACAAAACACGTACTAAAGCATTCAAATAGTTTTATCTGTTAAAAAAATACTAGAAATGAGAAGTTACAAAGCACTCGGGCCTTAAAAAAAGAGAATAAATCAAGGCAGTTTAATGAATTAAATTCCCCTTTTTTCCTCTTTATATTTTTCCACCCTCCTTCTCTTCCTCTTCCCCCACTAGAACTTTTTTTAACTTGACTTTAGGTATATAGATATGTGAAACAAGCACACAAACCAAACATTAACTCATTTTAAACCATTATATACATTTATTTTTAAAACAAAAAACTTAACCTTACACATTCCCATATGGAATTTTCTACAGTTTAAGAAGCTAGGTATTAGGGGATAAAGAAGGAAATATGGGAAATAAAACGCCGGCAAAGAAGTTTTTCTGTGTAAAACACAATCTGACAAGTTCCTAGACCCTGGACAGACTTGGTGTTTTTTTTCCCCCTGCACTTTGAAAAGAAAAAAGAGAGAGAGAAAGAAACACGTTGGGGGCAGAGGTGAGGGTGTTTGTCTTATGGGTTGGGGATGGTCTGGAATTGGGAAAAAGTGGCCTATTTAGGAATTTTATTCAAGACTCAGACTCATGCTTTCAGATCCACTAGTGAGATTGACCATCTCTAATAAGCTAACTACAAAAATCTCCGCAAGGCCAATTTACAAGGCAAAGTTTCTGTGTTTTACCATGCCTCTCCTCATGAAAATACAGAATTTCAAAATATGTATGATTCTATGTGGAGTTCCGGTCAAACACCTAGCTTCCCCTCCCCCTCCAATAGGGTCCCATCCAGAGATGCGGCTAATCCCCTTGGAGTCCCGAAGCCTCTAGCCTCCCACGGAGCCTTGCAACTAGAGAGCCCAATGATTTAGCCTGGATTCTTTCGCCTGGTCTGGACATGTCCCTTTAGTCAGGCAAAAACAATCTCTGTCATGGGGGGCCACGGGGCATTTCCTTACATTCTAACTTCAGCAAACTGCGTAGTCCAAAGACAAAGTCTGCATTTATAAACGCTTTTCCTTTTAGCAAATAATGTCTTTCATTGTTTTAATTCTAGATTCCGTGTTTCTAAAAACTAGAAACGTATAGAAAAGTATGACTTTCCATAACTCGCTCACCTGCTTGTCTCTAGCTCTGAAATGTTGTTTTCCGACTCCTATTTATCAACACCCAGACGGGTTTTAGTGACAATCCAGGAATTCCTAAATTGTGTTATGAAAGGACACGATTTTGTGCGGTAGGGTGGTCAAATTTTGATATGTAATTTCCCTACGGTTTACATCATATTTAAAATGACAAGAAAATTCTTTCTACAACACCGGAGTTTGTTATTTGGGGGGAAGAAATGGTTGGTTTTCTCCGCACCCGTTAACAGAGAATTTTTTTTTTCTTTAGAGAGACGGAGTTCTCAAGCTGTGGCCATTTCAAGAGCTCACTGAGGCTAGGGGGTTAAAGAATATAAAGAGGTCAAACTCCGGCGTTCAAGCACATACGGAAAAAAATCAATAAAGAAAGAAAAAGATACAGAAGTTGGAAGCGTGGGTCAGAAATGATTAGCTCCATGTCCGTAGGAAAGAATTTATTCTTCTACATCTTTCTCGAGGAAGGAGAAGATGCTGAATTTTAAAAGAAAGAAACAGGAAACAGTCCCCTCCACGTCGCGTCCCGACCCCCGGAGTGCGGGTGTTCAGAACACAGTCTGGGAGCTCTAGGCAAAGTAAGCAGCTCCGGGACATTTACTAAAGAGCTCTTTGCAATGCAGGAGCTTAGAATGCGGTCAGTTTTAAGCACGGCTAACTATCCTTTCTGCACGACTCCCTATCCCGTGGACTTTCCAAGAAATGCTTTCCTTCTCCAGGATCAATCACGTACATCTTTTAAACCATGTGGCAGATCGCTGGGGCTGTGTTGGGGAAATGAAGGCGAACCGACGCGACGCCAGGAAACATTTTGCAACGAAAGCGCAAATGAATGAAACCCTGACCAAGCGCTAGAGAAGGGGAATCGTGCGGGAACTTTCTCCATGTGTTGAGAGCGCGCGGTGTTTAGTACCCTGGAGAGTGGGGAGGGAGTGGAAACCGCAGAGATGTAGTCCACTTTTTCATTCTTGGCACCTGTGAACAGGTGCGGTTCCGAATGAGGAATCCGGGCCCGGTACCGACTAGCCCGGAGCCAGAGGACCTGCATCTTGTTCCAGAGGGCACATTATAGCGGCCCTGTCCTCGCTTGCACTGCCCTCAGTCAGTGCCTTCGAAGGCCAAACTGCGGGAGCTCCAGGAGCGCACTTGGTGCTCACACCACCCGTGCCGGGGACTCACTGGGGTCCAAACTCTTGTTTTCGAACATGAGGGGGCTCTTGGAATAAATGTAGCCATGGACTTGAGACGCGTCCAAAGACCAGGGGACTGGGGACTGGGGGTTGGGGGAGGGGGGTGGGTAGGGAGCCAAGTGAGAAAACTGTCTCCCGGGCGGAGCAGGACATGAGCAGTTGGCCCTGTTGGCCGAGTTGTGGGGCCCAGTCTGGGAGCGGCGAGGCGCGGACCGGTTTTCTGGGGCCAGCAGCTGCCGAGAAAAAGTTTCCTGCAGAACCCTCGCCAGCGGGGGCGGGCGGGCGGGCGCGGCAGTGGACGTGGGAGGGGGCGGGAATGCGGCGGGGCGGTGGGAGGCCGCAGGGGCCGACGTGTAAACCGTTATAGCCCATCAGCACCTCCCTTAGCCCGTGGGCCCCCCTAAGCCGCCTCCCCGCCGCGCGGCAGCCCACCTGGCGACGTGACGCTGCACCAATCCCCTTCGAGCTACTCCAGGCCGGGGGGGGCTGGGGGCCCCTTGCACCGCCCCCCTCCCATCCCTGAAAGAGGCGCACCCAGCGGCGGCCAGACAGTGCGCCCTGGCTTCGGAGCACCCCTCCCGGCTGCTCTGTCTCCCGGACGGACGCACTTGGCTGTTCGACTCTTCTGAGCGAAACTTTGCTTTCCCGCCTCTCCAACTCAGTCTGAACCTCCTTCCACTCTTAGCTTACTTTCCGCCTCTCCTTTTCCCCCTTCTCTATCCCCCAAGCTCTCCACAAACCCCGATCCCCTTTCCTTTCCCGCACCCTCCCCCCAATCCCCTTCCTCCAGCGACCTCCCCTCCCCTCCTCAACTTCTAGTCGGCTTCCGACTCCCCCAGCGGGCCGAAGTCCTTCGCCTCCTGCTGTGCCGCGTGAAGCCATGGCGGGACCCGGGGGTTGGAGGGACAAGGAAATCACGGATCTGGGCCATTTGCCGGTGAGTCGAGGACGCCCCTCGCCCTCAGCACCACCCATCCCCCCTGCCACGCCACCTCCCGTCGAAGTGCGGTTTGGCTTTTCAGTTGGTTTGGAGCGTGGGTAGAGCTGGGGGTTGGGGATGGGGCAGGGAACAGAGGTCGCTGGTGATTAGGCAGGGCCTTCGATGGGACCGCGGGTGCGGGAGGAGATCAGGCGCGCGCACTGGTGGGAAAGCAGCGGGGCACCCCACACGCACACGGGGCACCCAGAATCTCCAAGGCCAGTTCAGAGTTGAGGATGGCCAAGGGGTGCGGGGAAAGAGCTGGTGTGGCGGGGGATGGTTTGGCCCCGAAACAGCGGGATGTTTTCTAAACGTCGCCTGTTTTGTCTGGTGGCACTTTGGTACCTGTTCTAGCGGAACCCAAGGACAGACCGAGGAGGGCGACGCGTGTCTGCCAGAGCTCCGTGTCATCCTGCCGTCTCGTCACTTTTTTGCTTTGCTTCTTTTACTCCCATAGGTGCCCACCGCAAAGCGACCTTCTAGGTAACAGCCGTCTAGAAAATCAAGGCGCTGGAGTCTAATTTCTCTCACTTTCTAATAGCACTTTCTAAAACCTTATTCTGCCAGGGCACTGTTCCCGATTTAGTATTGCAGGAGCTTAGAGGACTCGACGCTGCTTGGGGACGAAATGTATCCTGCACATCCCAAAGGAAAGATTGAAAAAAAAATGGAAACGACAAGGGAAAAGTATTGTACTCGTTAGCTAACCAGATTTAGCTTTCCCCCCACTGGTTTTCCTAAGTTGTATCACCCCCCGCACCCCAACTCCATGCTGACTTTCTTCCCTAGTGGAAACTTTGGTGAGTTATTATCATCAACACTTTTAGAGACTTATTGTTTTAGTAACTCCATTTATTTCTCTGGCAAATTGTTTCTGGCTGATACTAGATCCCACTCAAATCCTTTTTTCCATTTCCCCTTTTAGATTGGCATTCACTAGCACCCCATCCTGAATGCTAAGGGCCCCTGGCCTCTGAAAAGAAGTGAGCATGCGTCATGTTAGAATGAGAACTACCCCACTGCATTTCAGAACAGTGGCCTGCTTACTTTTGTAAAAGCTAAATATTAACCTTGAAGTAATAGGTCTATTCAAAGACGCAATCTCTTAATTTAATATGCATGTATAAATATATGATATAGATGGCATTTAACTATTGTCTCGATGTTGGCAATTTTCTTTGCCACACACCAAAAAGGGACATCTAAAAGTCTTGCCTATATAATTTTACACTGGGATGGTTTGGAGTATATATGTATAAGCTTTTTATCAAATTGTTCTCAGTATTTTTAAAGGGAACAACCTCTATACAAACATTGAATTATGAACATCAGAATAGAAATTTAAATTTTATTTAGTTTTCATAATAGATATTATTGCGGCAACTTCAGAATATAAAGTCACAGAACTTTTCAAAGTTAAATCTTTTTTCAAGCAGCAAGCATCCAGTAAGTACATGCTGGAGATTTATGAAATAGGGAAGCACCAACGGGTGTTTTCCTTTCTGGAGACAGCCTTCATATTTCTACTAGATTTTTCTCTAAAAATATACAATCAAATGTTGCCCTCCTCCAATATTCTATGTATAATGGAGAAATAGAGGAGAAAGTAAACTAGGGCAAATATATGAAACTACACTTGGGCAAATGGAAATAAACTAATTTCTAAAGAAAGGAATGGGAAATGGGAACTAACTCAACAGAAATGATAGAGTAGGGGAAGGAATTCAAAATCCAAGAAGTAAGAGGAAGTAAAGGTTTTATCAACACAAAAAAAACTTAGGGAAATGGCTCAGACAAAGTGAAGGGTCATGGCCCTGGGAACATAAAATTTTGTTGAGTGTCTATTAGATAAATGGGAAAGTTGCCATTTTTATATTTTAGTTCAATGGAATATTCGTTTTCTAAGAATTGGGAGTGGGATAGTGAGGATGCATGAGTTAATGTAGGAGACAAAACTACAGAAAAAAGTTTAGCAGAAGAGTTGAGCCCCTCACTTATTTCTTTTTGGCCTTTTTTTTTAGAGATGTGGAAAGTTCAATGTTCTTTTGGTCGCTGAGGTAGAATTCAGTGATTTCTATTTTATTTACATTTGGGATTTCTGGAGTTTTAAAGAACTAAAAACAATTAAAGATGTCAAGAGATACATCTAAGTTAGCAGTTTAGAAATTTAAATTTTTATGTTAGTCAGGGACAAAGGAAATGAGGAAATCTGCTTAGGGTCCTTACAATAATTATTCTTAATATTTTGTATATATACATAGGTATGAGTGTTTATCAGAAAATATGAATCCTAATTTGTCAACATCAAATATTTAAGTTTGGCAACAACCCAATAATGCTGGAAAGATTTAGATCTCAGATTTTGAATTCACAATTAGTACAAAAGTGTCCTGCAGAGTATAGAATAATTAAACATGTATCTGTTTTAAATTTATAGTTATTTTTTGTAGTGCTATTCAGCTAAATAACCATAAGACAAGGTCTCTTGACAAAGGTGAAGCTTGCTGTGCATATTTAAATTTAAAGAGATGGAAAATTATTTTTTATTTTTTATATTACATTATGCAGTTTTTAATTTAAAGTAGTAAATAAAAGCAAAAGCTGTAGAATTACAACAGGAGAAATTGTATAATTATTTCTGCCTATTTCCTTTACTTAGAAATATAAAATAAATGAGACTCTGAATAACCATAGGAAGACCAGTCAACTATATTTTGTTATTTAATGGGTTCCTATAATTTTTCCTGACTTATTATTAATTAAAAATTTTGTGTAGCTTACAAAACCAGAGAGAAAGTAGAGATTTGTATTTTGCACTTCCTTTATAAAGAGAATTCTACAACATTATTTCTTTATATATGTGTAAATATATAAATATGTACAATGTGTATGCATTTTTTATCTTATCTTCTGCTAGCAATAATACAATGAATACCTGTGCATTTTAATAATATTATGGATGTCACTCAATCCTTGGGACTGGAAACTATTTCTTCATCTCCAAATCTGGCATGTCTTTCACTGTGACAGTCTTCATTGCCTTCTGTGCCCAGTATGGTAATGGCATTCCTCACGGCTGTGGTCTTGGTATTTGACACTGCCAAGTGTAGTCCTAATCTATATTGGGGTCAGGATTAGACAGTCTTGGAGGACAGTAGTGGCAGAGGTGATCTGAAATAGCACATGATCCAAAAACTATATTTGAATTACATTAGATTTATAATTTAAATATAACCACCAGCTCTACTAGGCTCACACTATCCAGTATAAACCAGATTTCCATACTCAGCCATGTAAATCTTCTAGCTTTTCAAGACCATTAGGCCCTGGTTTTGAATTTTCTCTCTTTAGTACACATGTAATAATAGATTTAGCATATTTTGACCTATTTTCTCTTTCATCTCCAGCTTCAAGAACACTGAATTTTATGTTTGTACGTAAGAATTTGTGTGGGGGGACTGGGAGTGGGAGGTCTTGGGTACTTATGTATAGAAATTTAGATTTTATAATTCTGTGCTAAGGATAAGGGTCTGCATTTTGAACAGGGTTCTTCAGATGATTCTCAGGTAAGGAGAATCTACACAGCGCTGTTTGAGAGACATTGGTCCAGAGGAAGACATTCTCCATTTAAATTTTCCATTTGAATTGTGCAACCCATTCCTTCCAGTGATGCTGAAACACACTATGCACTTAACGTGTATAATTGCCGTTTTCAGGTTCTCTCCCTGGCAAAAAATATAACAAAAAATTAAACATGAAAATCTTGGGTATTTCTTCTAAGTATCTCTATTTAATTGTTCCTTTCTTTTGCCTCTTGAAAATTAGAATGTTTTTTTTTTTCTGTTCTCCTTCATTGTTCTACATATGAAATTTCTTGGGAACCAAATTGATTATTTATCTGTGTTTCCTTCTTAATCTCTTCTCTATTTTTTTTGTCTACCACTTTCTCCTTTTGAGTCTGTGACCAGTAAACAGTGCCTTCTAGTGGTTCCTTTTCTTCCTGTTACCCCACCCAGCCCCCAAACTAAAAAAAAAAATCACTTTTCCCTCTGAATTCAGAAGGCAGAAGTAACTTCTCAAAGTTTGGAATTCTTAGGGGAGAGCCAAACTAGAACTTTTTAATTGCAGATGATAATTTATATATTTCTATATGTGTTTATATATGTATATATAATAAATATAAAGCAAAAGTATATGTGTACATTATATATACATATATATATACAAACATATATAAAGCAAAAGTATTAAGTATTCGCCCAAAACTTTATGCCTCAAATTTTTAAGACAGAATTTTAGTAATTTATCTTGAGGAAAAATAAAACAAGTAGAATAGGGTTCTGTTTCCTGACATTTTTTCCTTACCCAGATGGAACAACAAAGCATACCAACCCTCCAAATAATCTCAAAATTGATATAGCAGTCATAGTTTAAAGACATTTCCTCTTCTGATTTTCTTATCTTTGGGTTACAAGGCAGAGAGAGAACCAAGTATTTCATTTTTCCAGTGATGAAAAGAAGGTTCATTTCAATGATGCCTACTTTGGAGCTAAGGACAAACTTTCTTTGACTATAATTCAATGGAACATATAAGAACTTGAGAAATACTTTTTAACTGCCTTTAAGAAAATTTGAAAAATAAACCTTTTATGTTAATATGAGCATGAGGAAATTTAAGATGATTTCGTCATTTGTGAATAGGAAATATTTTTAAACATTAATATAAATAAAATAAGGCTTCTATTAATTCTCCGGGCATTATATTGTCCCAGTATTTTTCTTGCTCTTTTTTTTGAGTAGTAGTAACCTGAATTCAAATTTTACTTTATGTTACTAATTTATAAGTGTTTATTGAGGATTACAAAAAGAATCAAAGAAATTTAAAACTGTGCCCAAATATACAGAAATAACATTGTTTGTATCACAGTCAATTCTTAATATATGGTATAATTTTCAACTAAAATACAGTCTTAACTACAAAATAGAACAAAGAGAAACTAACCAAAATAGTTAAGGCTTTTATTAATATGTGTCCAGAGGTTTTTAAAATTCAGAATTAATGTCTACTATGACCCTTTCAATGATGTCCTTCAATTTAATGTGCTAAAATAATTAATTGTTCAAACATGTTTTTATCAATTTAATTCTCTTGCTAGATTTTTCCCCATAAAACATTTAATGACTTATGAAAAAAGAATATGCTTAAAATAAAAATATTGAACAATCAATTTTACTTCTCTTGCATACTCAGTACTGTCGCTTTAGATAATAACTAAATTTTAATTGGGACTATGTTCCAATTTGCTAAAAATTATACAGTACATATTGTGCCTTTGATTTTTGTGGTTTTTAAAGAGTATGTGAGATTATTCTGTGTTTGCCCTTCTTCTAAGATTGCTGTTAGAACACTGTATGTCTAAAACTTAACTATGAATAACTCCGTTAACCATGGTACTAAAATTTTAAATAAGAGTTGATAGCTATTTCCTTATCAATGCTTATAACATCATAATTAAAACTTCTGGATTTTAGAGTGGTATAATCGGATTTTTTCCTATAGAATTTCAAAACTGTGAAATCATGCAGTGTACACAGAACTTTCATTTTACATATGTGAAAACTGAAACCCCTAGAGAGTAAATAACTTACCCAGAGTCATATAGTTAATTAATGGCAGAGCTGGGGTTAATACTCAAGTCTCCTGAGTATTACACATTTGAATACTTGTTGACTGAAATGATTCCAAAGCTATGTCACTTTCCTATGACAACTTTTCTAGATTATACAAATATCAGACCAGTTTTAAGGTGTCTATAATCTTAGTCCTATACATTATCTGTGTTTAAGAGTCTTTCTGTCTAGCTTGCATTTGTCACAGTGATAAAAATATTTCAGAAAAGATTGAACAAACTATGTATATAAAATGCATTTCTGTAAGTTATATGAATTTTCATGAATTTACCAATATTTTGTGTATAAGCAGGCATTTTGTATATGATTTTTTGTACAAATAGGCAATTACTCATACCTTATAAAATTTTGCTAAAATAGAAAAATAAGATGCTTGGATAAATGTTTAAGCAGAGAGAAAATTCAGGAAATTATTTTTCATAATTAGAAAGAAAGGTATGTCTTATTTTAATTTTATTTTTTGGTCTACAATACTATTAATAATGACCTATCACAGACATAATTCCAAAATTCACACATGTCACCAGTGTCCCTGTTTCTGTCCCCCAAGATAACCAGCGCCCCTCTGGAAACCCCCAAACTCAATTATTTTCCCATTGTGTTCTATTTGCTGCCTCATCGTGTCTCTTTAAGTCCCATATATGCGAGAGATCAAGGAATGTCTATTTTAAAATAAGGTCACTATTAATGAGTGAATAAGGAAATCTTAGGACTCTTTCCATAAACATGTTTTATTTTGTCTTCTGTAGTGACATATTTATGATTATGAAAGAGAGAGCATCAGTGAAATTGTGTCTTGTCAAGGTATTTTCCAGCTGATACACATATTAATTTTAAAAAGCTTGGCCTAGTGTTTTTTAAATTTTTATTTATTTATGTTTATTATATCACCATGAGATAGAGCATTACAAAGCTGTTCATGATTGGGTTTCTGTCGAACAATGTTCCATAACCCATCCCTCCACCAGTTCACCAGTGTAATTTCACAGCACCAATGTTCCCAGTTTCTCTCCCACCCACCAAATCCCCCCCCCCACTCCAGCCTGCTTCTATGGCAAGCACCTCTCTCTTCTCTCTCTGCCTCTCTCTTTCTCCTCTTTTGTTCTCTCTCTCTCTCTCTCTCCCTCACCCCCCCCCCCCCATTTTGGGCATCATGATTTACAATACAGATGCTTGCAAACCATAAAAGTTATCATGTATATCCCATATCCATTTACCTAATTTCAACACTCAGTTCTTGTTCAGAGTGATCATTTCCAACTATTGTCATCATACTGGACCTTCCTCTACCTAACTTACTGCACTTCCACCCCCACACACTGTGGTAGCTTTCAACCTTTGACCAGTCCTCCTTGCCCCTGTTTTCCCTGCTGACTAGTATTTTAAAAATACTGTTCTTGATTCCATCATTTACTTTGTTATTTATATATTAAAAATATTTATTATAATAAATTACTATTGAATACATAAGCTATCTAAATTTTCATTCAATATATACTCATTATTTTATACTAATATTTGGCCAGGTTGCTTATCACTCAAAAGATGAACCTTATAGGAGTATTTTATAGTATTTTATCATGCATATATACTTCAACTTCTTTTTTAAAAGTTTTGTTTTACTTTGTTTTTGAGTCACACCTGGTGATACTCAAATGTTACTCCTGGTGCTGCATTCAGGAATCATTCCTGGCTGAGCTCAGGGAATCATAAGAGATGCCAGGGATAGAAATCTGATTGGCTGTGGATAAGGCAAGCACCTTAATCGCTGAACTATTTCTCTAGCTCCAATATACCACAAGGAGGTCTTGATGCATTCATCCATAGTTGGGGGATATGGATTATTTCCATATCTTGGCTATTGTACTAAGTGTGGTGATGAACATTAGTGTGCATCTGCCATTTTAAATTAATGTTTTTGTATTCTGAGGATAAATGCCAAGAAGCAGGGCAGTTCTGAAAAAGAACAAAATCATGCAATTTTCAGCAACATGGATGGAGCTAGAGTATTTAGTGCCAAGTGAAGTCAATCAGAAGAAAAGGAATGGATACACAATTATCTCTCATATATGGGACAGTAAGGTAGTAACAACGGTTCAAATCAATAAAATGGGAGAACTGCTTCACTTAATTTAGTTGGAAGGCTTGAAAGGGAGGGATTTTAGGGAGCTTGAGAGAGGGAGGGAGCACACTGGTGATGACTGTGGTGTTGAAATTATGTACTATGAGAAACCGTTATTAATACCATTGTAATACACTGAATTTCAATTAAAATATTTAAATATAGGAGTATTTCAATGGAAGTAAATGAATCCATCACTGTTTTGAGAAATCTCTAATTCAGTTCTGAATGTCTCAACTGGACAAATTATACGCAATTACAGATTTTATGATATATAGCAACTTAATTTACATAATAGTTTTATAAATGAAAATATTATTTTGTTTTTATATTATTCATTATACTCAGTGCAGAGACATTTTAATGTCTATTATTTTGGTAGAGTTTCAATTATTTGGTAAGTTCTTCATGTGGATATTCTAAAGGAGCAAGTAAAATTTACAATTCCATTCTGGAGTGCTAAATGTTTGCCAATATTTACAAGAAAATTGGACTAGAGAGATTGTACATGGATTAAGGCACCTCCTTGCATGCAGTCAACTCTGGTTCCATTTCAGCACTGTGTATTGTCCCCTGAGCATTTTCAGAGGTGATCCTTTAGCACAGAGTCAAGAGTAATCTCTGAGTACCAATGCATATGGCCCCCAAACTGAAAAATTGAAAAAAAATTCACAATTTTAAAATTCTGTTTTACATGTTTTCAGGATCCAACTGGAATATTCTCTCTGGACAAAACCATTGGTCTTGGAACTTATGGCAGAATCTATTTGGTAAGTAGATTTGTGTATTCACTCTTCATTTGCTAGTAACAACTGAGATTACATGTTAAAACCCTAGGGTGCAAAACAAATAATGCCAGAATATAGCATTTCACTTCAGAGAGAAGAAGCAAATTAAGATTAGACAAGTGACATCTATGAGGATAAAAGGAATGGCTGTCAAATTTTTGCACGCCACCTACAAAATAAAGGGTCTAAAATTTCAGAGCCAGGAATGTAATCAATGATAGAGCACTTTTCTTGCATCTGTGATGCCATGGGTTTGATTCCATGCAGTGCCCCACAAAATTTAATTAGTAGACTCTTAGCAAAATGAGCAGTTGATATATACTTGGGTGATTGTAACATCATGGATTGCTGGATGTGACCATGGTGGCCTCACCCACCATAGGGTCACATCTTTAAATTTTATCTTTGAACCACCAATGAGATTGTCATGTCTTCCTGGCCGTGGCTCACAGGCTCCCCGAACACTGCTTGGGAGACCTTCCACAAAACTTAAAAGATAAAATAAATAACATAAAATTCACAAGTTGGGGGGCACTTACTTAAATAATATGTACCCAAAGCAAAGTAATGCTTGTTTTAAATTACACATATCTGCCATTCTACTTCTCCAACATTCCAGTTGCATTCAAATTTGAAATTTAGCTTTATAATAACAAAAACTCCTAAAAACTCCAACATTGAATATTACAAAATCCTTTCATGTACATTTCTAATATCATTCTATATCATAGAGTCACATATGTATGCAAATGTTTTACAGACTTTGCCAAAGACTCTAACAAAAATTTATTTATTTACTGATACTTTACTAAACATAAAGTATATGTGTTCCAGGCAATGTGATAGTCTCTGGTGATAAGGGAATGAACAAAGCAGTTCCTGTTTTACTGTGACTTCATGTCTAGAAATGTGGTTAAAAGTGTGCCTAGGTGAGGTGGGTAATAAGGGAGTTGGAGAAGCACATATATTACATAAGTAATAGCACAAACAACTGTATAACTGTATAATTGCAATTGTAATATATCCCTTGTAAAATAATCCTTAAAATATAAAGGCATTGAGTACTATGTGTTTAATTTGGATTGAAGGGTCAGTTTTGTCCTTTACAGGCAAGAGACAGGCAAACGAATAAAAATACATAAATGACAAACAAAGATACAGTTGTTGAGGCCGACATTAAAATTTTTTATGTATAGGCAGGGGCAGTGTTAAAATAGGTGTGCTTTAGTAGCCATGTCAATTTGATCTCATCCTGCTATTCTTGAATATGTGGAATAGATATTTTCTTAATCTTATATAACATTCTTTTTGTTTTACTTTTGGGACCACACCCCCAGTAGAAATGGCTTTCTCCTACTTCTGTGCTCAGGAATGATTACTTGCAGGGGTTGAGAGATAATATGGAGTGTCAGGAATTTAACCTGGGTTGCCCACATGAAAAGCACCATAGCTGTGGTATTTTTTCTCCAGCCTCTGATGCAGCATTCTTCATCAATGTAGATTTTACTTTTTGGCCCAGCCCTTGAAAACCAGATCCCTGTCCCTGCTCATTTCTTTATGAGAATCTGATCCCAAGTCCTTGAGATATCGGTTATTTCCAGATTCTGTTACAGGTATAGTATGAAGGCACTTCTTTCAAGTTCAGAGAAGGGTGCCCTTTACTGCCAAGTCTTGCAGCTTTGGGGCTACATTTGTCCATAAGTGACCTCTATTTTCATTTATCTACCCAAGTTGGGGTAATCTTTAAAATATGCACAAATGTGTCCATGTCAGAAAAGGTTGTTGATATAAATGACATTGTAGAAGAGTCCTAAAATCATAAAGTTGATGTATATTGTAAGCAAAGAAAATTAATATTAATAATAAAAAGTCAAAAGAGTTTGACCTTACCTGTTGATAGAATTGATAATAATTGATAATAGACTGTAATCAGACACAAGTTTATTATTTATGTTACCTCCATGTGAGATAGGAGTGAACTAAGCTGTATGAAATAGTTGAATTTTACACCTTATATATAGAAATGCCTACACCTTATAGTGGAAGTTTCCATACTGTAAATTACATTAAAATTTCTGTGACTTTCAACACATTTTAAGTTGTAAAGGATGTGCATGTGTTTATACTTCTTCCAATTCAAAGGTATAGTACTCTTTCCACTGCCAGATCTTAGAAATAAAAACTGCAGAATATAAGGTAAAAATCAAAGGTGAGTTGACAAAGTACAAAAAGCTGTCTTAGATGTCATCAGAACTTTGATGCGATAAAAAGAGAAGTCAAGAGGGTAAAAAGGTGAGTGAGTTTTGTATAATAAATATGTTTTGTTTTAACTTGAATTTATGTGGTATCTTTATATTTGGTATAATTTATCTTGTTAAAAGTATACAATTTTTGAGTTTGGAAAAAACATTTCATTAAAGATATGCTAAAATATTTCAATATTCATACAAAATTAATTACGGTATGCCTTTAAGAAATATTCTGGTAATTCACAGTATGTTGGTCTAGCTTACATATTATAAATAAGTTGTTATACTTTGTTTTTACATATTGCACAAACCTACAGTTTTGTTACTTATACTGAGTAATTCTGTGTTTTAGTGAGTTATATTTCAGAGTAATTAAAAAGAAGGAAATTTCTTTTATGTATTTGAGCCATTTTCGTGCTTCTCATTTCAGGAATCTTGGATCCAACTTGTTATCTTATATGATACTTCTTAACTGATAATAACTTTTATAATGTTTCATATACTATACTATTTCTGTTTGTTCAATTGTTTTATTGAATCACATTGAGATACACAGTTATAAGGTTGTTCATGATTGGGTTTCAAATTTCTAATGTTCCAATGACCATCCCTTTACCAGTGTTCATTTCTCACCACCAGTAGCCTCAGTTTCCCTCTTGCTCCCCTCTCTGCCCGCCTGTATGGCAGCTAATTTTCTTCTTCTCTCTCTCTCTCTCTCTCTCTCTCACACACACACATACACACACGCTCCCTCTCCCTCTACTCTCACTTTCCCTCTCTCTCTTCTATTTTGGGCATTATGGTTTGCAATACAGATACTGAAAGTTTATCATGTATATGTCTTTACATACTTTCAACACTCAGTTCTTGTCCAGACTGATAATTTCTATTATTATCATATTAATCCTTTCTCTACCCTAACTCCTTTATCCTCCCCCAACACACACATTTGTTACAAGCTTCCAACCATTGAAGAGTCCTCCTGACCCTTGTTCTAACCGGGCTTTGGATATTAGTCTCATAATATATTGTTATATTCCACAAAAGAAGTCATTCTATACCTGTATCTCTCCTTCTGACTCATTTCACTCAGCATGATATGCTCCATGTCAATCCACTTATAAGCAAATGCGTGACTTCATTTTTTTTCCTGACAGCTGCATAGTATTCCATTGTGTAGATGTACCATAGTTTCTTTATCCAGTCTTCTGTTCTCGGCACTCGGGTTTTTTCCAGATTCCGGGTATTGTGAATATTGTTGCAATGAACATAGTAGTGCAGATGGCATTTTTGCTGTGCACACTTGTGCCCCCAGGATATATTCCCAGAGGTATTGCTGGGTCAAATGGGACATCAGTTTTAAGTGTCAAGAAATGTCCATATCATTTTCAAAAAATGCTGGACCAGTTGGCAGTCCCACGGAAAATGAATGAGAGTCCATTTTCCCTGCATCCAGGCCAGCACTGGTTGTTCTTGTTCTTTCCGTTGTGTGCAGTCTTAATGGCATGAAATGATACATCATTGTTGATTTGATTTGCATCCCCCTGATGAGTAATAATGTGGGACATTTTTTTCATTTGCTTTTTGGCCATTTGAATTTCTTCTTCGAGTAAGTTTCTTTTCATTTTCCCCAACTTTTGATGCAGTTGGATGTATTTTTCATGTAAAGTTCGACCAGTGCCTTATATATCTTTGATATTCACCCTTTACCAGATGGTTAATTTTAAATTAATTAATTTATTTTGCTTTTGGGGTCACACCCAGCAATGCACAGTGGTTACTCCTAGCTCATGAACTCAGGAATTACTCCTGGCAGCGCTCTGGAGACCATATGGGATGGTGATAATCAAACCCAGATTGGCCGAATGCAAGGCAAACACCCTACCCGTTATGCTATCGCTACAGCTCCACCAGATGGTTATTGAGTAAATAATTTTCCCATTCTGTGGGCTTTTATAAAAAAAATCTTGGTCACTTGTTTCTTTTGAAGTGCAGAAGCTTCTCAGTTTAATATAGTCCAATGTGTTTATCTTTGCTCCACTTGCTTGGTCATTGGTGTTTCATTTTCAAAGATGTCTTTAGTTTCAGTATCATGGAGGGTTTTGCCTACGTTTTCCTCCATATACCTATGAATTCAGGTCTGATGTTGAGGTGTTTGATCTCTTTTTACCTGACTTTTGTTTACCAGCACCACTTGTTGAAGATGCTTTCCCTGCCCCACTTCATATTTCTTGGTTCTTTATCAAAGATTAGGTAAAGGTAAAAGGTAAAGGCCCTCCTGTTGATCGTCGATTTGCTCGAGCGGACCCAGTAACGTCTCCATTGGAGACTTTGTTGTTACTGTGTCTGGCATATCGAATACGTCACGGGGAGCTTGCCAGGCTCTGCCATGCGGGCGAGACACTCTCGGTAGTTTGCCGGGCTCTCCGAGAGGGGCGGAGGAATTGAACTCGGGTCGGCCATGTTGGCTGCATGCAAGGCAAACACCCTACCGCTGTGCTATTGCTCCATCAAAGATTATATCATCTATTTGAGGGTCGGTGTCAGTTCTGTCTTTTTTCCAATACCATGCTGTTTTCATTTCAACCACTTTGTAGTACAGTTTGAAGTTGTGGAAGTTGATGACTCCCATCATCTTTCCCCCCAAGGATTGCTTTTACTATTTACTTGGGTTTATTGTTCCATATGAATTTCAGAAGTGTTTGGACTATTTCTTTGAAAAATGTCTTGATC